TAATATATATATTAATATTATATATTTATATTATATATATGTTTCTCTCACATTAGTGCCTATTTATTGTTAGTTAAGGAGGAATGTAGTCGTAGTGGTCGTGATGAGTTGAGCGAGATAAAGAAATCATTCGAGCCAGCCGGCACATTCATCGTCCGGTGTCCGATTGATAACTATATAACGGGAAACTCTATAAATTTTCAACACGGCGAAAAAGTACAGTTTTTTCCGTGCGTTTCACTCTCGGAGTTCAATGTGATTACGATTAGCTAGGCCTTTCTTCATCGCGCTTACGGCTAAGATTATAAGTGGGCTATATAAATGTTCTCGCGTTTCTCCTCGCCTCCTCGATTATCTCGAATATAATTAACATCGCTTAGGCTATTGCTCGTAGGCGAGTTGTAAATGCTTAACTTCTGATCTGGTTAATTATTTCGGTACTACGCTCGAATCGCGATAATATCAGATATTTATTAGAATGCCCGCCTATTGACAGCGACATCAGCAACCAATTCGCGTTTACGCATTGATGCGAGTCGTGGATGTTCGTGTTTAGGATCTTGACGAATTTTGATTGCTCTAACATGTGTGAATGCGTAAAATGATGCGGCAGTGAATAATATATTAATGACGAAACGCTAAAAGAAAGAAGAGAACACAAATGATATTTCAAAGAATAGATACTTGTAAAATTATCGTTAACTCGTTATACATTAAATAAATAGCAATAAAATGAAAGAAATTTTCCAGAGGAATTTTTATCGTATATATACGCGCAATCTCGTGAATTCAATCTATAGTCGCGCGTTTTGCTACGAAAATTATCTGCCTTATATTTAACTTTACAAGAATCAACCGCTACACAAATGCACATCTTACGAATGGACAAAAATGCTGAAGAACCACAGTCTTCGTGAAACTTAGAGAGGATTAATTATTCAGCGCAGACAACAAATTTTTTAAATTCGTCGATTTCGCGAACTTCAGGCCACAAAACGCATGTGGGAAAAGTCTAGCTTAACCTTCCGTCATACGGACGCGTCGATGCGTTAGACATATTTGACTTTTATCCCGTGAGAACAGGAAGAGCCAACAAAGAGCCGAATCTTCCTCGGTAACCTTTTAACTACAGTATGCAATGTATCTATAAAATACGCTCCTCCTATTGACATTAATTGCATTCAGCAGAAATAACTGTTGGGCAACCGTAAAATTAAGAACCGGGCTTCTTACTACCGCCGCACTTTGTTTAGTATCTTAACAGCGAACGATTACCACGTAATGATCTTAGTCAATTATAAAAATTATAAATTATGAATTACGAATGATATAAATTAGATACGGTTTTTTTTTTATCGCCACACTGTGAGTTACAAAGCCACTGTGTTCCTCGGTGTCGCACTTCGACACCTCGTTCGAGCGCCGTGAATCGAGCATAGGTCCGTTTCCTGCAGGATCACTGAAGGATAACGCGGGAATCGAATCGAGCGGAATACCTAGAAGATAGATTGAATTCTCTCGAGGATTTAAGAGTCGCGCCTATCCTATTTAATCCTTAAATGTACTCTCTCAAGCGTAACTATTTTTATCGTCAGATACGCATGCTACGATGATTGTATATGCTCCGGGGCCTCATATCACTTATATTGTCGCGAGATATAATCTTCCAGTATGATATTTCTAGCGTAGGTAGAGTCACCCGCGTTGTCATCGATCAATTGATGATTTGACAGTCGACGGTGTATTCGGTTAGAGATATCAACGGATCCGCGAAAATCGCTCATATATATTATAATACACGATAGAATATAATACATACGTTTTACTTCTTTATATATATATACGTCACTCTCTGTGCTTCCTTCCCATTATCGGGAATCAATTCCTTACGACAAACATGTATATTGTCCCCTGCTTCTCCGTCATTTACGTACATACATACAAGTGTTTACGTGGTTTAGCGGAACATCAACAATTTACTTTATAAGGCCCAAATATTGTGCGCTACTTGTTCAATCAAATACGCGAAAGAAGTTACTTTTTTTGGTTTTTTTTCTTTTTCTTTTTTTTTGTGAAATTGAATCTGCGCCATCGGTTCGTTCGATCATGCTCGATCCACGGAGGGCGCGTGACCGCTTTGATCGATAATCAGTGCTGAAAGCCAAAATCGTTAAATATATGCTAAAAGTATAATTTAATTCGTTAATTTGTAAAATAAAAGACATTTCTGTTTCGAAATTTAAAAAAATTTTATGGCTGCATGGAGCTAATTCTAATCAATATAATGATTTATCGATAAATTATGCTCTTCTATTATTCATTACATATATGCGTCTTGTTGCAATTTTGATGATTATGGTGAAACTATAAGGTATTGTTTGTATATATATAATAACGATAGATTTTTTGCGTTTCGTATAATCTAACTGAAAATATGAATTACAAAATTCATAGTAATTCTTATCAATTTTATGTTATTTGCTACGTATCTTATCTTACATCAAGTAGTAAATAGTGTCAATGCAATAATAATAATTTTCTTAAATAATAGTTTTTATTTTTGTAGAATAATAGTTATATGCAAGAAGAACAAATTATTTTTGTAAATAAAATAAATGATCGTTTTTAAATGTATATTATGTGACACATTATATGAGATTCATGAAAAATGTGTCCATCTTTCTGATCCACTCTTTTAGTCATTCTTACGTAAATATTTCACCTTATTAATCTTAATTTATTCACAATACAAAAAAAATTCTTTTGCGTCACTATAATAATAAAGAAGTTCTTAAAGGTAGTAAACAAATGTAAAAAATCAATATCTTAATTTATACGATTAGAAAATGATCAATATCTGTACAAGCGTATATTACGAAAATAATATGAAAAGATGACAAAATGCATCAAAGATTTAACATTACGAATCTGTATATCGTATCTCGATCCGAATTTTTATATTTCAATTTTCAAATTAAAATCTACTAGATTGAGGAAACCTCTTTATAAAAATATTTATAATACTCGACTCCAGCAGATAATTTAGATTGTCAAATAATGTATCGCTTTCAGAGGAAAATTTATGAGTTATAAACTGATTATATATCAAGGATAAATCTTTGATCTAGAAACCATGTTCGCACTGATTATCTCTCGAAGCCATTAGCGCCATGTCTCGACGCTCAGCTGGTGACGGCAACCAAGGCGAAGGTCACCGCAACTCGAGCGAGAGATTCAAGCGGAA